TATTACGTAATACACCAAAGACTCTGCTCCTTTTAGATAGTTTTGAGTCTGACATTTGATAGGCCTACGGCTTGACAAGGTCGTTTTAAATTTTATTTGCTAAATTTCTTTTAAGAAAGCATATGATGGATGTACCGACCAACACCATGGGAACATTGCGATCATAGTGGAATTTCTTGTAATTAATTTGAAATTAATTTAGGCAATTAATGTTTTATATAGACGTACAGGAGTAAAAATTTCTATTAAAAGATGTTAGATTTTCAAATAAAGTTCATACTTAAGGTGGAATTGTTCACGGCGTGGCTGTCGCCTGTATTGTGTAATCAACACAGTGTATTAACAAAGTAAGTAATGGAGTGGAAACAGAAAGTGGACAGTTTTTTAATTGTTATATTGACGTAATTGTAAGTAAATAATATCCAAGCTAATTATCTTAATTATGGTAAGGTTTAATTCCATGTCAGGAATGAAAGACAGTGTAGACTGAAGGGTACAAATTCAGAAGGTAAGTTTCCTGATTTCAGAATTAACACTTGAACTTTTGGTACGTTGAAATAATATTAGAATCAACATGTTTCACAATATGTTACAGTGTCTCTTTGGTTTCTTTACAGAACTTGTAATTGAAAAACAGACATGTGTTCGCAAGTATAATGTTCAGTTACTAAATTTGATGTATTCATTCATTAAGATTTATTTATACTGACTAGCAATTAAGCAGCAACGCATGACTTTTCAAAAAATGGAGAGTGACTTAGTAATAAATTTCATGCAGTGGAATTAAATAAACATTAACATTGGAGAATAATAGGTTTTTGCTTGTTCCACTTATTCTCTTAAACTGAATCTGCACTATGTTCGTGGGAGGGCATCTGTGTGCACCATGAAAGCTAATATATTGTACACTGTATATTTATTATTTTTTGCATTAAGATTTTCGTTATAAAGTGCCCCATTCTCAGTATCATAAATTGTCTTTGCTATAGGTAGGGGGAGGGACTTGTAAAGTTATACCAGCAGGATATGTTGTTGTTGTTGGTTGTGTATACAATTTATTATATTTAATAATAAAATATATATCAGAAAGTTTTCCCCCGTCTCGAGGGTTCTACACCCCTGCAGAGTTCAAATTGATCCTTGCTGTTTGGGCCTGTGTCACGATGATGAAGTTGGAACAAGATAAAGCGTAAACGTGCATGAGTGACCTATATCTCAGTAGGACATTTGTGCGTTCTTACCAAACAGGACTTTCACAGAAGGCGACGTTATCGAGATAACTAACTCAAAGGAAGAGTCCTTGAGAGTCTAATATTCGCTAAGATTTCAAAATATTCTCCGTCTTTTCTGAACCTGAAGGTTCGTTATTGTATTCGGAAGAATCCGCAATTTGATTCTATTATGATCTAGATTAATCCAGTCCACAGTCTCAGATCCGTTTAATATTATCCTCTAATCGAAACCCAGGTGTCACAAGTTACGCTATCCTCCAGGTGACTTTGTCATCTTGCTCATGTGTGCTACTTGTTCAGCCCATACATCTGCCTTTAATATTTGATGAATAGTACTCCTCGTTACGTACTTTTCTTCATTATCCTGCTACTAAAACGCTCTCTAGGCGTGTAGATTTACCTCCACATCCCTGTACGTGTTGATAGCGTGGTGCTTAGTACTGGAGCAACTTTGCCACGTTACTTACGAGGGTTTATTTTAAAAAATCGCTTTATCTTCACGTATTAACCGAATCATTGCCTTTTCTGCCTCGAAAATCCCTTCCAGCTTTTCTTCCTCTTACCCTCTACATGTAAGCTTATCATTCAGTCTCACCCTTGTCCTCCTGTCGTCATCCAATCTGTCCGCATGAGTTTTCAATCTCTTCAACCGATTTATCGTCCTTATGGTTCTCTTGTGTTTCAGTTTTTACGTTTTGTCAAATCGGTGAATATTCAGCTGAAGATCTTCGTAATTCTATTTTCTTCTGCTTCTGTTGTTTTGTGTCACCGCATGTCCACGTGTCATTTGTATTTCACTATTTGTCTAAGTAATATTTTGTATAATTTCAAATAATTGGGCCTATCCCTAAATATTATTTTATTAAAGTATCTGTAAATCATTCTCATTTGATTCTACAATCTTTCTCCACTATCTGGCTGTAGGATTTCCTACTAAATTCACACATTATCTGCCATGTAACAGAGTTTTATAACTTAATGAACTGTTTCTTTCCTTTGGAAGCTACTGTTTTTATTGTATTAATATAGGTCCAGTTTAGTTTCAGATTATTTCGTTATTAATTTAAATACATGTTATTAGAAAATGCAAAATTAATTTCCTTTTCCAGACTTGTATTATATTTGCTCTGTTGCCAGTAATTGTATCTGTCGACTGACGGACAAATGAAATTTGATTGTTAAACGACGGGCTGAAGGATTAACACGCTTAAGTACTGAAGGATTCGTTACATCTCGTTGTATTTTCGATGTGTTCTCTTTCAGGTAAGCGCTGGATCTATAAATATTATGTACATGAGCTTGGGCTTCAGAGAGTTACACATTTTAATTATGTTAAATTTGTTATAGTATTCCAAATAATAAAGATATAAAAATTGATTACATTAGTTCCAATTAGTATGTTTGGTTGTTGTATTATTTTGAGAGGTAAACCAATATATGAAGCGGAATATAATATTTTTACTACAATATTATATTAAAGTGATACCTAGGTTTTAGCAGAGAAATATAGAAGTGGGATACAATGTGATGAAATTAAATTAGGCCTAACAAGAAATGATGACAGCATGCCCTATGTGCTGTTACAGGCTACGAAACAATTACTTTACTAGAAGAAAGTCAAACACATTCTGAGCTAAAAAAGGTATAGTTCATATTGAAAGACCTCGTAAAGGAAGAACATGACTCACTGGAGTAGGGGCTTTCTTAAAAAAGCTCATAGTAACTTAGTTGGTCGAAAGTTTCCCTGCCTTTTACAGAACATGATGTTTCATTATTATCTGAGCCAGTTGAATCCACTCCACGCACGTATACACTATTGAATCCCTTTTAATATTATCCTCCATTTACGTATGTGTCTTCCAAGTGATCTTTTCATTGAGTTTACGCATTTAGTATTTCACCCATTGCCTGCCAATCCAACCACGTGACAAGACTCCTAGGTATTATGGAACCCGTACGCCTTTCGGGACTCTGTCATGGATAACTTAATTCAGTCCTTATCATAGCAATCATCTGTACTTACCTTCACCAAGTGGCATCGCTCCACCAGGTTTTTTTACATGATTGTGAGTCAATTTCTTGAAGAGGCCATGTTTATCTCCCTAAAACCGAACTGATTAATGTAGCGGTATCGGGTTCGTATCTCAGCCAGGTTACTAGCTACTCTGGCTGTTTTTTAAACATTTTTTTTCAAATTTTCTTCAGGAGTATGTTTTGATAAAATATTCAAAACCGCCTCGTTCTGTTCACCATTCATGATTATCTTACCACTACATTGTTTCATGACGGTATGCCACTCATGTTCCGAGTGAGAAGGTCTGCCTTGATTCGACCATACTATATATCGTGTGTTTATTGTAGCTTTATCCCCGTCACTGAGATGTTTCCTACAGCCCTACCCTTAGTAACACATTACAACTTGATGTACTGCGTTTCCCCCCGGCGCATTACAACGCTAGGAAATAACGCCTCTCACTGTAAAGTGGCAATAGAGACGAAACAGTTTAACATTGTAACAAGAGTGGAAAGAGTTTCCATTTTACATACTTCATTGGCTTTGATGTTTATTTATTTGAGAAAGGCTGAGAGCTCTGTTTGTTGCACACAAAGGCACACTACAGACACCACGCTACGTAGTTAGGTTTATCAGTTCATAAACATAATCAAACATGTAAACCCGAAATTTCAACTTAATATGTGAGGTTATTAGGCGATCTTCGGCTTTAAAGAGTTAAAAACGTAAACATTAAAATTTCCAAAACTTTTGTTTCATCTCTTGTTTTTCGTGGGTGTGAACTTGATACTTTACATCAAGGAAGAACACATTTAAAGAAAGTTTGAGAAGTGTGCTGTGGGGAATATTTGGTCCAAAGAGGGGTGAAAAGGCGAGGGCTATAGAAAATGGCGTATGAAGAGGTCCATAATTTGAAGCCTGCTCTTTACCAACTGTTATGATGATCAAATCAAAGAGAGTGGTAGGGGTGGGATATGTGACGCGTGTGGGGTAGATGAGAAATGCTCACAAAATTTTAGGTGGGATACCTGATAATCTAGGCGTAAATGGGAATAATATTAAAATGAATCTTACGGAAGTGGGTTGGGACGGTGTGGAGTGGATTGATCTACCACTGGACACGGTCTACTGGGAGGCTGTTGAGAACACGATAATTAATTTTCGGGTTCCTTAAAGTGCGGGGAATTTTTGAGTAGCTGAGCGACTGTCAGCTGCTCAAGGACTGTGCTACATAAATTTAGTTAATGCATAAATCGATCACTGAGGTGGCACAGCAACAAATAATGGACAAGTTATCAACGGTAATAGGCCTGTGTGTAAAGTCTGTCATAATAAACAATCTATTTCATTATTTAAACGCAGTTTATTTAAAAGGAAGTCCCGTTGACGACCGTGTTATGTCGCTAATTAATTCACAAAGTTGTACGTAACAGTTTAAATTATTACAAGAGTGGAATGATGTACTCGGGTGAGGACTAGAAGAAAGACGTATGCACAGGCGTTGTTTATTAGTGTTAGGCCTATGCATGTTAATTTATTGAAGATACGTATCTTATGTTAGCGGAGCCAATAGCTGCATACAGCAACGTCTCTCGACTGGTCTGCTGCTTAATTTATGCGGGTCTTTTTATTATTGTTAACATTATATCCATGTTTACACATATATGTTTGGTGGAGTTCGAAATCATACAACCTAATTTATGTTAGAATTTTTTTTAGCTGTATTATTGCATTTGGGTTCCATTTGTTGACAGTCTGGAATCATCAGTGCAGCTGAATCAATTTTAAACGAATTAATCAACGAACGTTAACAGCTTGAAAGGACGCATAGTGGTTTAAACCTGTACTGCCGTTCCAAACCTGAAAGTCACTCGGAACACGAGATACACTATTGGAGGTAAGGAATATAAGGAATATTTTGTTTCTGAAAAAGAATATGTAACAGGAGGATTGAGACAATTACTTGTAGGGATACACTTTATCGAATATTATTATGGTAATGAAATTAAGGCAATTGTAAGGACGAGATTTATAGTAAGAGAATGGGAGATGAGACATTCAGACGCAATTTTAATTGGAAGACCTCAAGAAATGAGACCATGAAGATGATATTAAAACGGATTTTAAGGAAATTAAATGTAAAAGTTCACACTGGATAAAACGGGCTGAGGACAGAGTCTGTCGGTGGGGTCTTGGGAACGTGGTATGGGCCATCGAGTTCCATAAAAGCAGGTTAATTAGTCATACAAACTTTTGCAGAAACATTCTGCGCTATGAAGTCAATTAGACGTAGTCGAACGAATTGAACATTGCGTGTAATTGTAGGCTGTTACTTTATCCCTGTGATCAGTATCTTAGTCCGATTTTACTCTCCACGGTTGCCATAGTGAAGAGGTTCTGCAGGCAGTGGGGGGCGTGACGTCACAGAGGGCAAAGTTTACGGCTTTCAACGTTAACAGAGACCCATTTATAATTTCTTATTTCCCTTTTTATTATTTTCTTTTGAAAACATTTTTAATGTTGGCTCCGAGGTTTGATACAGGTTCTGCATTATAAGAAGACAAACTTACGTTCGAAGAAAAGAAACTTATATTTTATTCAATTAAGATCGTTAATTCTTTTACAGCAAGACACAAAAGTAGTTTTGACTGTCGTATATCTCGTCCCTTTAGCAGCACACCAACAATTGTTCCTCAAACCACTTCTTATGAAATTACCACCAAAATGCACATTAATGTCTACACTCCAAATTCTTTCCTTAGGTTCACTGAAAATCGCGTAACAACAGCAATAATAAGAATAATTAGATGCGTATCCTTGTTCTTGGTACCTCAGCTCTGTTGAGTGAAATGAACCTGTAAATAACAAATTTGAACATGGAATCAAAATTAGATACATGCAGTTTCCAGAAACACCCTTACCGAGTTCACACATATAATAAAAGGCTATCTCTCACCCCAGCAACAAATGAATTATTTATATATTACACAACTGATAAATGTCGATTTGAGCTTTACGTGAAACAACGACTGTAATTGATCTGTAAGAGGTAAAATTAAGTTCACATGAAAACTCTTAATCTTCAATATCGAATTAATCGAAAACCGTTATGCCCTCATTTTAGGAACTTTGTACGGAAAGGAAAAAAAAACCCTGCAAATAATTTGAATAAACGGAAGAATCAATATTTTCAAATCAAACTGACACCGCGAATAACGAGCAGTCAACTTCAAAGAGAATCACGTAACCACACTCACGGAAACAACAGCAAACCACTTCAAAACAGTTCTCACAAATTTGGAGGCGTGTCTTTAAAACAAAAACCACGGATAAGTAAACACATGGTGCAATAGCGGTACTGAGAAAATACAGACGCACGCCAGTTCTAAGGTAAATGGTTGAATTATGTGGTACATTAGTATTTTTATGCGTAAAACAAAATAAACTAATTAAAATAAAAATGTCCAAACTAAAGAAATCCCAAAATATAATGATTATATAGGAAATGAAGAGTAAAGCACTCGATCTAAAATAAAAAATATTTGTACACTAAACGTTAAATATAAGAATGAATTTTTATTTGATCGCCCTAATAATATCTTATAGAGACTAAAAGTTATGCAGTTTCTTGTGATGCCTGATCGCTTAAATTTTAATTTAAATTGCTTCTCTGGCCTATTTCGTTCACCCATCCTCCCATTCTTTCTTTTTAAATTTGGTAGTCTTATGGGACAGACGGACAGATACACGACAGCGGGGTAAAGAAGGAGAACAAAGGTAATTGGAAGGAACGGTTCTTGCAATCCGGACCCTGTGTCATTGATCATGGGATGTCAGTCAGACAGGGAGTGAATAATTGGGCTATTACAGCAGATGGCATGCTACAGAGATATAAATGATTGTCATTGCTTCGGTCGATGGAACCAGTGAATCTAATGGCGCTTCATCTCCGATAATTAGCCTTATGAATGTTCTGGCTTTGCAGCACACAATGAGAAGGTTGCAAAAGCGATATAAGCAAAATCATTTGATCAAGAGGTGATGATTTGTAATTCATAGCTTTCGCTTGGTCATCAAGATATTTCTTTAGAAATTGACCTGTGTTATAAAATTATATTTTTTATGTCTCATTGTAGTTTTTAAAGAGAATTCGTCGTTCAAAGTGAGTAACATGAACGTATCAGAGGGATGTAGTAAGAGCCTTGTGTTCATCACCGAATAAAACATTGTATTTAAATTTGATATTGAGGTGTTGGAATTAAAAATTGTCAAGTGAATTTAATATTTGACATTAACCCCAAATTGTAAGTTACCAGAGTTCTGAAAATAAATCTTCTTGAACGAGTACAATATGTTCTACATAATATGATATAGAGAACTAGATCTTGATTTTATGCTTATTAAATTTTATTTTTTATATTATTTGATAAGACAAAAATAGTACTGATAAGTAAAGCAATTTTTGAACGTGTGCAGTATCTATATTGTGCTTACCTTTGTAACAAAACTTTTATGTGTTTAATATAAGTAAACCGATTCTTCTTTGTTCTTCTTCTGCTTTGTTGTAATTAAGGTATTATACGTTTCACGACTTAACGGCGTGGTCTGCTTTACTGATGACTCCTTAGCGTCTTTCGACACTATCGAATCTGCATCAAGCACTCGATGAATGGTACATGGTAAAATGACAGTTAAAAATCACGTAATAGGGGGTAACTTTTAAAGCAGGCCTACCTTTATTTTTATATATTTTTGCATTTATAAAGTATATTCAGTAAATTTAATAATGTGAGTACAGTACTATTTAACGTCTTTGTAACTGCAGGAAATTTTCCTAGGATATTACGAAATACCCCAGCCAATGGAAAATATTTTCCCATCCCTAGACTATAAAGTATCCGGGAATTACAGTCGGTATGGTGACAGGCTACGAGCTGGGCTACTTACATTCTATTCCAGGCATGGCACAAGAGATTTCTTCTGTGCGCTGCCGAGTCCAGACCGGCTGTGGGTTCCACTCACCCTCCTATTAAGTTGGTACCTGGGGACTCCTTTCTTAATATTACTAGTTTATAATATATTAAGTTTTATCGAAACCTGTTCAACTACAGGGAAAAAAAGTCAATGTATAGATATAAACTATCACATTACAACCCGTTCCAATATTTTCAGAAAATACAGTAATATTAATAATAGTTTCATTTACGTGATTCCTAGAGTCTATCTAGTGTCCCATTTATGTGCGTTTGACAAAATGTTGACACCGTATCACAGTTTATTTCACTCTTGCTTTCAGAGAATTAGGAATTAATAACTATATTACGTACAAAATGTCTGGTCAGTTATATTCGGACGACAGACTTGTTCGACACCCAACCGAGAATACATCGCATGCAGTATAACAGATTATCTTTGTCATTACGACATGTGAAACAATTAACCAGTGTAATGAAGAGTAATTTATGCACTCAGGTTCTCTTTGCCGCGAAACGAAAAAAAATATTCACATAATTATCTCCGTCCTTTTAACCATTTATGACAGTTGTAAAGGTAATATATAACATGCAGGTTTACAGTTAAAAATAAGACAGCGTTCTAGACAGTTTGTAGGTGAAAACACGAGTGTCATAGAGAAGAAAGCATCGTAACTGCTCTAGATATTTTTGACTATCCTTAAGAAATCCACTTATTCGAACTTCTGTTTAAATCATAGGTTTATTTTATTCGTGGGACAATAAATTATTTGTATAGAAATAGAGGCTATTGTCTACGACTAATAGACGGATTTATAAGAATCACTTAGACCTATGAAATGTCTCAGTGTTAATACTGAGGATATGTGTGAGAGTATTCATTGTGAAAAAAGAAGTCCAAGCTATATTTTATGATATATTTGTTATTTCGACAAAATAGTTACACAACTGAACACTTCTTAAAGACAATATTAATCATGTTGTGTCCCAAGTCTGTCTCTTCCAAAACAAATGTTTCGATTCCAGATAGAAGAGGAACTTTGTAATGCCTCATTTTGGCTTGCCTTTTCCTGTATATTAATTAATAGCTCCATTTTCTGATTGGAAGTTGGTGTTTTAATTTTATATTTTGATGACACTGAAACTGTATGTCACATCTTACATAATTAAGATGTAGTATTAAATAATGTTATAGAGCACAATTTTTGCTTGACTACAATTTTGCTGTAAATTACCTGATAACAGCGTGAAACTTCGTAGTCTTCTAAAACACTCCTCTTCTCTGGATAAAATTGGTTGCAATACAAATATCTACAGCCCAGAATTAAATTATGCACATAAATTTGTAAAAGAAACATCGTAACATATAAAGTTTAGTTGTGACTGAAAGGAAAGCTACCATTTCATTTGTACGCAGAGGAAATTCGTTCCATTGTGAGATTATGGAGTGAGAATTTTTCATAAGCCGCTTGGAAGCGGCGACGATGAGACGTGGTGAGGGCAACCTCAGCAGACTCAACAAAGGATCAGCGGGATTTCGTCTTTATATAAAACTGGCCCTGTGCAGAGGAAAAGAAGGAATTGACAAGGGGGCACGATGAAGGGACGCTTCGTCCCAGGGTGTACTTTCACGACAGGCAAAGTGAATTGTCACAAAGCCGACGAGTCAGATTCATTTGTGTGTGTGTGTGTGTACGCGAGCACGCTTGCGTGCGTGCACATACACTTCCATCTCTGGTAGACATGAGAAATAATCATGTAGCATTTTAGCGTACCATAACTGTTTAAGAGACATTTGGTTTCGAAAATTCGCATTGACAGCAGAAATAGTAGAGGAAATGTATCTCCACTTTTATTTGCACATAATTTGCAACTGTGTTCTTTGTTATTTTACGTACAGTGCCTCATTGACCTTCATGTGTATTTATTGCTAATGACAATTTTATATTTGGGACAGTTAAGATGTATTTCTTTTTCAAATAGGCCCACTTAATTAATCTGGTCCATGATATTTTTCTGAAATAGCTTGAACTCCTTTATTTAAACACTTTCTATTTACCGTTTGCAGGATCTTTCTTAAAAACCTAGTAATAGTTTATCTACTCTGTAAATTCCTCATTTTCTGAGGAACTGAGTGTTCATTAGTGTATTCACAAAAGCATGCCACTGTCCCGTATATTGAGCCAGATTAATTCGGTCCACGCCTTCAAGCCTATTTGTTTAATATTCGTTTTAAAATCATAGGTCCAGATCTCCCAAGTGGCTTATTCCATTCAGATTTTCCGGTCAACATTTTGTAACATATTAATTCTCACCTTACAGATGCCTGCTACTGTTCTGATCGTATGATGGGCCTTGATTTTATGGCAGTAATTTTTCGTGACTATGCTTGATATTTTTTTTAAGAGAACTGTGCTTTCTTAAAGGACTTGCGTGCTTCTTTTACAACTCATACTTGAAGGTGTTGAAGCAGCAATGTGTCTCAGGTTGTCGCTAAAAGTTCCCTAATTTCTGATATATACCCATATTACTTGTTGTGCTTCCTTCCTGCAGTGGGGCGTGTTTGCTGTGTTTTTGTTTCTAGTTTATGAGGTTCGTTATTAGTTTGGAGAACCACGCTGAGCAGCGCTAATGAAAAACAAGTGCTGACACCCACCCTCTAAATTTATTGTCACGCCCGATACAAGACGAAGGAAGCCAGGAGGAACGCGAAAAACTTAGGCGCGGACATAAAATGTAGAGAGGCTTACGTTCCTGCGCTCATGATATAAGCATTTTCGCGAGAGACGATCCCGAATAAGGTCTTTTAATCTGATAAATAAATAGGACATACGTGGATGGACACGTCTAATGAATTTTGTAGACCTGTTAACTGTGATACTTCCACATACCGCTAATGTCACTTACCTTTGTCAGATATCAGAGTATTAACATAATTGTCTTCGGAATGTTGTGCCGTATTGTCTGGTATTTAACCGACGTTTTAGAGATGTTTACTGCCTCCATAGTTGCACTGATGATGGAGGCAGATAGTATGTACTTCTGAAACGTCGTAAACATTTATCAGAGTACGCGGTGCAATATCCCAGAAGAAACCATCTTTTATCACTTATCTTTCTTTCGAGCGATTAAAAAAAGCGCATGGTTAGATTCTGAGAAGCTACGTGGGAACTAGCGAAGATGCAAACCGGGAAGCCTTTTAAATAAAATTGGTCACGGTAAGCTGTGTTCTTGGAAACCCGACACAAATAGCAAATTTTCGAATGTGAAGGGAGGGGTCATTGTAAGAATAAGTACGCAACAGTACAAAGTACAGGCCTAGAAATACGCGCTCTGTATACCCGCACGTAGCTTTTCTACGAAGAAGATGATGGTTTAATGAATTTATATATCTTTGTATCGTAACATAAAACAAAGCACTGACATTTTATGTTTTATCGCTCGTAAGTTAAATTAAACAGGAGTAAATTACAGCCTTGAAGAAAATTATGGTAGACCAGCCATTTTAACGCAACGTCGTGGTGTGATGTGGTATGTTCTGCGTTGTAACATGTCAGAGCTAAATTGTGTTACTTTGGTTCACAATTAATAACATTAAGTGGGAGGGAACGGAGAATTTAAATTAAAAGCTTCGTGAATTATGGCGGTTATATCGACGCAACGGGGGTGCGTATGTCTGTACGTGCTGTGCAGAAAGCCTTACATATTTCTCAGTACCATATTGAACTGAACGCTTCACAGCTTCAGTCAACCAATTATTTTCTAATAGACTTACTTAATCGGCAAATTGTACATATACGTATATTAACTAGCTAATTAATATTCTAAAATCCCAGTGCGAAGTTTTAACGCTGCTAACACCAAAGTCCACAGTTGGATATGATCCTAAGCCAATTTCTTCTATACAACCGATGTCTCTCATATCGATATTTCTCGATTTCAATCTAAGAGACTTCTGTACGCATTTCTTGTCGTTTTCACTGTGCTATATGTCCAGCCGATCGCAACATATTTTATTGATTTCATAACAATACTAGTTTTTATGCACTTATCACGAAATTCCTCGTTCAATAATACTTTTTCTCACCCCACTGTCTTGGTTATTTTCCACCAAACTGTTTAATGCCCGATTATTCTATTCAGGCGGAATCCGATCTGAATGTCGGTCGAATAAACGTTTTTCCGGTCTGAAGCTTTTCGAATGCCCGATATCATACCT